CACTGCCTGAAGAAGAAAACAAACTTTTTCCCAAAACCTCCCCCCTCCAGCCACCCCACCACCTGCAGGACTCCCTGTGGTGGGAAGGGGGCCGGTCTTGCCACCTTCACCAGCTGCTGCCTCCTCCTCTTCCTCCTCAGGGTGTCTCCAGCAGAGGTGACACTGGGCTGGGGTCAGGGCAGCCCAGCAGGGGTGAAGGAGCCAGGAGAATCTCCTTCTTGCTCCACACCTACTTGAGGTAGTTTATCCATCTGTCTGTCTAGGATATGTCTACCTGTCCCTCATCCATATAACGAATCACAGAATCTTCGAGGAAGGGACCACAAAAGACTGGTCCAACCTCCCTGCCAGAGCAGGGTCACAGGAACGTGTCCAGACAGGTTTGGAATATCTTCAGAGAAGGAGACTCCACAGCCTCTCTGGGCAGCCTGTCCCAGGGCTCTGTCACCCTCATAGGAAAGTTCTTCCTCATGTTTACATGGAACCTCTTATGCTCCAGTTTGCACCTGTTTACCCTTGTCCTATCACTGGACATCACAGAGAAGTGACGAACCAACTGTCCATCCATCCACTCATCCATCTCACTCCCTGTCTGTGTGTCCATCCACTCATCCATCTCATCCATCCACCTGTCCATCCACCCATCTCAACATCCACTTGTCCATCTATCCCACCCATCCATCTACTTGTCTGTCCATCCATCCATCCATCCATCCATCCATCCATCCATCCATCCATCCATCCACCCACCCACCCCCCCATCACCCTGCAGCTGCTGTGATGCCACAGCAGGACACCCAGGCACCTGTGCTGATTGAACAGGACCCCCTCAGCCTCCCCGTGGCCACAGGTGGCCCTGTCCCCTCACACACAGCATCAGGGTCACCTCGCAGGGTCCCTGGTGGGCCAGGCAGGGAGGAGGCCACCGCGGTGGCCGGGAACTGTGCAACATCCAGCGGGGACAAAAATAGCGCCGCTGACCGCACGGAGCGGCTGCAGTTGCTTCATCTCTCGGGCACACGTCACCAGTGTCCCATGACTGGGGACAAGAGAGCGAGACAGGAAGGAGAGTGCCCAGGGAGGTGGCAGGAACCCGATGGCAGGAGCTGACGCGGGGGGGACAAGGCCCAGCCCTGGCCCTGCTCCTGCTCAGCGCCTGGGGGAGCAGGGACAGGGGGGAACGGAGCCACACTTGTCCCCTGGACCTGCCAAGCCCCCCCCACCCCGTGGGAAAGACCCCGCAGAGGTTCCCCCCGTGCCACATCTCACGGTTGGCCACCTTTGTGCCTCAGTCTCCCCCACCGTGGGGGTGGAAATGGAGGGGTGAGGCCTGTGCCTCAGTTTCCCCAGGGCCAGGGACTTGCTGAGGGCTGCAGCTTTTGTCCCTTTTTCCAACCAAAATCCATAGTAGGTGAGCTGGCCCCATCCTGGTCACCTCACAAGGGGGACACAGTGCTATGTCCCCCATCACATCCAGTGCCACCACCCCAGGGACAGGCTCTGGGGCCACCTCCCTCTACCCACACCCCCAGGGCCATGGGCTGCGTGGAAATAAAAATAATTGAACTTTTATTGACTTATTAAAAACTATGTGAAAATACAGCTTGGGAGGAGTTGGGGGGGCACCATTTCCCCCCCATGCTACACAATGGCCTAGGAGGGGGACATGGGGCCCCCCCAAGGAGGGACACAGGGCTGGGGCTGAGCCACAGCCCCCCTATCTCTGCCATGGAGACTGTTGGGGTGCTGGTGGGAACCCCAGCCCTAGAGACGCTTTCAGCTCCCCCATGGGGCCAG